GGCACAATGGAAAGAGGGAATATCTGAGTGCAAATCCAGCCTTGGAAAGATACTATCGAGTGTGACCCTGAGCAAACCAGCTTAACCTATTTCCTCAACTGTAAACCCCTCAAAGGGTTGTTGTGAGGATCAAATGAGATTATATTTGTAAAGTGCTTAGCACAGTGCTTGGAACATAGTAGGCACTTAATAAATGCTTATTCCCTTCCTTTAGAATTCAGGAAGACCTAGTTTTGGTTCCTACCTGTTTCTCATACCTTGGGTAAATTACTTAACCTCTCAGAACCTCAGGCAACTTTCTAAACCTGCCTGTTCCAGACGACTTGCAGTTCTGCCTCGGTAAAGGAAACATCCATGGTGAGATTTCCTCATGCTCATGAAATCACTGGCTCAATGTTCACAGAACGCTTTTAACCGGTTGAATGAAATTAAAACCAATTTCATGGTCATCATCTCATTTGATCCTTACAACAATTTTGGGAGGTAAGAAAGACAGGTGTTTAATTTTTTAGTAAATAGAAGCTCACAGCCAATGAGTGATGGAACCCAGGTTTTGAGACCCCTTGTCCAGCGATTTGTCTCTTCCATCACTCCACCAGCCTGCCTATCTCAGATGGTTAGAATGAACAGTCAGAGCAAAAACTATCAAAATTCATGATTTAGGCTAAGAACACAACAATAAAAAAATCTGCCCATAATTACTGCACTATCTGAATCCCCAGGGTTTGTGTTTTTTTTTAAAGGACAGCAGAAAACAGGTCAATCAATGGGAGTTAGGTTTGTTTCCCTCTTTAATTCCTCCTACTTTGTTCCAATTCCTCTCCAGTTTCATAATCCTCATCTTCTTCACCCTCAGCCCACAACCAGCTCGAGAGTCCTGAAGTTCTCAAATCTTTCAATGGAAAAGTAGGACAAAAGACTTTGCCTTTGGAATTTTTACTAAAAACCAAAAGTATGAGACAAATAACCCTAACCCAACAATGGAAAAGCACTGATCATTTTCTATGTGGATGATATTATGGGAGTACTGGAAGAAATATAAAACAGGTCATTGATCCCAAGGAAATTACAAACTGGAGATAAAAAATAATAATTATAAACATAAGAGATAATAAGCCATTAGACTGTAAGCTCCTTGAGGTCAAAAACTGTATTGTTTTCCATCTGTTTATTGAATACCTAAAAGGGCTCCTGGTACACAGTAAATGTTTAATACATAGTGGATATTCCTAAAGTCTTAGGGCACTAACTTTTAACTGCCTCAAGATTTTTGGGACAGTCTGTATTTAAATTAGCAGGGGGAATAGTAAGGGAGATTCTTGTGGGATAATGCAGGAAAAATCATAAAAATAAGACCCTGTTATCAAGAATTTAAAAATCCGATTATGGAAGCCCATCTCTAATGGGGTGAGAACAAATTGTAGAAGGCTTCCCCTTCTCCCCCTAAGGAAGGGAAAATCTATGATTTCCTAGCAGCTAGGTGGTATAGTAGATAGAGCACTGGTCCCAGAGTCAGGAAGACCTGAGTTCAAATCCAGCCTCAGACAGACACTTACTAGCTTGTATGACTCTGGGCAAGTCCCTTAGCCTCTGTTTGCCTTAGCTTCCTCAACTATAAAATGGAGGTAATAACAGCACCTACCTCTCAGGGCTGTTGTGAGGATCAAATAAGATCATTTGTGTAGTAGGCACTATATAAATACTTATTCCTTTCTCTTCCTTCCCTCATGGGTGGTGTGATACAGATCAGTAAGTAACTTCTCTGTAACTTAATCTTGGAAAATTGCCTAAGAATTCTGGGAGTGACTAAACATGATAAGATCAAAGATTTAGGGCTGGGAGGAACCGCAGAGACCATGTAGTCATTTACAGATGAAGAAACTGAAACCCAGGGAGGTTAAATGACTTTTCCCTGGTCATACGTCTAATATGTCTCAGAGGCAGGACTTGAACCCAGGTCTTTCCCGACTCCAAGTTTGGCTTTATATCCCTCACACCAGGCTGCCTTTCATAATGAGCACATATAACTGAGTAATCGTACATTGTAAGATACATGTTGAGGATTAAGGGAATTCAGAGAAAGGGAGATCCAGGAAGTAGTCAAGGAAGTGGGACTTTTGAAGCGTGTAGAGTTTTGGATAGATGGAGAGGAATGAGGAGCACTCTGATGAGGGAAAGCTATTCTAGAAAAAAGGGAGGCAGGGCAAGGCATCCACACGTGTCTGTGACTAACTATAGAGAACCCTTGTCAGCTTTGTCACCCCTGACTCCTCATTCTCTCTCCCTCACACACACCCCTCCAATCTGTTGCCAAGTTTTACCAATTCTAGCTTTGCATCATCTCTCCTATCTGACCCCTTTTCAACTCTGACACTGCCATCACCCTGGTGCAATCCTCACCACATCACACTTGGATTATTGCAATGATTGGTGTCTCTGCCTCAAGTCTCTTTCCACTCTTTTCCAGTCCATTCAGCTTTCAAACTAATCTTCCTAAAGTGTAGATCTGCCTATGTCACCCAGTGGCTCCATAACATCTTCAGGAGCAAACATATCATCTGCTTGGCATTCAAAGCCCTTCGTAACCTGGCCCCATCTGCCATTCTAGTCTTCTTTCACCTTCCTCCCTACCCTCTAATACTCTGTGAACCACTGACCATGGTTCCCTTACTATTCCTGAAACCAGACACACCATCTTCTGACTCTGGACATTTTCCCTGGCTTAAAATTTCTTCTTCAACTACGTCTCCTGGCTTCCTTGGCTTCTTCCAAGTCCCAGCTCAAACATTACCCTCTACAAGAAGCCTTTCCTGATTCCCCTTACTGGTAGTGCTTCTCTGTGTTGATTATCTTCAATTTATCATGTCTATAGTTCATTTGTACACAGTTGTTGGCATATTATCTCCGTCATTAGGTTGTGACCGCTTTAAAAGCAGGTAATTTTTTTCCTCCTTTGTATTCGTAGCATTTAGCACAGTGCTTGGCACCTACTAGGCACTTACTAAATGCTTGTTGAATGTCTCACATTGCCCAAGTTAGAAATGATTAGGAAATAACCTGCTAATCTCTAGTGCTGAGCTAATTTTTGTACAAAGGTCCAAGACAATTTTGTAACACAAGCCAAAAATAGGAGATGCAATTTAAGAATAATCATGAGTAGCAACTACACATATATGTACAGTGGCAACATCCCTAACTTCTTTGGAATGTAAGGTACTTTCTCTTCCTCCAGACCATATATGATACTGGAAGAACTAGAAACTAGGTCTCTTCCTCTAAGGAAATTCCCTCCTTCAAAGGTCACTGTAACAGTCTCAGGATAGCAGGCTCCTGGGGAAGTGTCATTTTTAGAATGAATTGTACAAAGCTCACGGGCCTCACAGCTTGTTTTAAGCTTCTGGGGGCTCCACTGATTGGGGACTAGATAAAAACAAATTGTTGAATCTGAATGTAATGGGATACCACTGTACCATAAGAAATGATGAATATGAATTCAGGGAAACAGTGGATTTCTGACTACTAATGCAGAATCAGAAAAACAATATGCTCATACTATAGCAATGTAAATGGAAAGAGCCATAAAATCAAGTCGAATGCTTTGTAATTATAACAACCAATCTTGGCCCTGGAGAAGAACTGAAAAAATGCACCTCCGTTCCTTCCTTGTAGAGGTGGAGGAGGTGGGTGTGGAAAAGTACGAATAATGTTAGTTGAAATGGCTGTGTTGGCTGGTTTTGTTGAATTGATCTTTCTCCTTCTTTTTAAATCTTTGTTAAGAGCCAACAGATCATTGGGTAGGAGAGGGAGGGAGGGAAGGGATATGTTCCAAAATGAATGGGATGAAAGACAAAATATCAGTAACAGCAAAAGAATCTGCCATCAATCCAGAAATAGGACTCAGGATCTTCTCTGGTACTCATTTCCCTCTGCAGTTTTAATCGGATCAACACTTTCTTGAGCTAACTTTCTCCTAGGCCAGCATACAGTGATAACTCAGTTGGCATCCAGGGAACATGGACTGGATAGTAGGAGAAAGTACAGTAATTAATTCAACAAACCAGTCAGTTAATCAACAAAGTCCTTACCCGGAAGAAACTCATCTCGAGAAGCAAGGGGAGAAGTTGATAGCTTTTAGAATAAAGAGTGAAGAGAAAGCAAGGGAAGCACATACTCGAGGGAAAATGGTCCAATGTGCCCCGGTTCTTCCCTGTTCCCTAATAAAGCTCTGCTTAGGAATAAAGTGACAGGGAAATTATCAAGAGTGGCAGGGCAGAGAGTTGTTGCTGCAAATGGTGCTGGAGGTGGGAGGGAGGGCAGTATCATGGTAAAATCTCACCTGCTAAAAGCCTTTCCGATCCCCCTTAAAGCTAATGCCTTCTGAGATTACTTGCCATTTACACTGTATGTGGCTCGTTTATACACAGATCTTTGTATGCTGTCTCCCGCATTAGACTGAGCCCCTTTGAGCTCAGGGACTGCTTTTGCCTTTCTCGGTATCCCCAGAGCTAGCACAATGCCTGGCATAGAGTAGGCGCTCGTTGACTTACTTGAGTAGGAAGAGCACTTTGCCGGAAGTCAAAAAGCCCTGTTTCTCGCTTTACCAGTATCTACCCAATTCACAGGGTTGTTGTTCGTATCAAATGTGGTGAATAAGGGAGGGCGTAAAGAAGAGAGATAGGGAGGGCTGGGGTTAGAGGAAGGGGGCAGGGAGAAGAAGGAAGACTGAAGGAGATGTTAGGAGAAAAAGAGGGAGGGGGAAAGAGAGGGAAAGGAGGTGGAAAGGGGAGTGAGGAAGGGAGGAGAGGGAGTTGTTCGCCCAAATCAACCTATATCAGCAATTGTGAGGCTGATGGATATCTGGAAGCCCCAATGAGAGGCGAAGATAGGAAGTTTGGGCTACTCAGATTGGCCAGTCAAGTTATTCGGGAGGGCTTTGCCCGCTCCTTGGCCGCGCTCCTCCTCTCCCTCCAGCTGCGTGTGCGCGAAGATTAGGTTTGAGCCCAGGTATTGAAGGAGCTGCCTTCGTAGCCGCTGCTGCCTCTTCCCGCCCCCCTCCCCCGCCCCCTGCAGCCAGCCCTTCTCTCTGCTCTTCACTAACCTCGCTGTAGCAGGGCGGAGGAGAGTTCATCCGACCAGCTCAACCCCACTCAAACTGTGGCAGTAGCCACAGCCTGGAAAGAAGGTGGAGGACAAAACCCAAGGACGCGAATTCGACCATGGATCACTATGATTCCCAACAAACCAACGACTACATGCAGCCGGAAGAGGACTGGGACAGAGACTTGCTCCTTGACCCCGCCTGGGAGAAGCAGCAAAGAAAGGTAAGCAAAGCCAACCAACCACCCTCCTCTCCATCCTCCCCCAGTCCGCGCCCTGTTGATGTGATCGCCGCCCTCCCTAGCCCCTGCATCCCAGGAAGAGTCCACGGCGAGCCGTGGGAGGGAACCAGCCAAGGCTTGCAGGGGCGCTAAAGGATTGATTGGAGTGTTAGGTTTCAGGCATTTAGCAGGAAAAGGAGGGGTGGGTGGATGGGTGGTAGTGGAGGAGGTGCTGTCTGGGTTGGGCTTCACCGGTGCTTCTGTAAATTTCGCTTCCCCAGTGTGCACTGGAGTAGAGAACGTGGAGGGAGCTGCAGTCTTGAGGGGTGAGGGTTAGGTTGGAAGGGAAGATAAGGCGGATTAGCGGGCAGGTTTCCTGTTGTGACCCGGATCCAGGCATCCCCGCCCCCTAGCTCGAGTCTGGAAGGCCCGGGAGTATCGGGAAGAGATGTGGGCTGGGGGTGGGCGTACTGAGCGCAGGCAAAGTCCACCACCAATATCGATGGTTTAAGAGATCCTTTCCCCCTTCCCTCTTCCATCTTCTCCTTCTCGCGCCGTGTCCGTCTCTTCCATATGGCGTTCAGCGGCTGCTTGGTTTCCTTTGCTTGCCCTGTGCTCGATACCTGGGGGTATATAATCTTAAGGGCGCAGCTGTAGCCGCGTGCCAGACTCCTCTCCTTTCCCCGTCCCCTGCCTCCCACCAGCTTCCCCGGATCCGCCAGCACAGCGGCCCACGTAGCTCCGACCCCCCGAGCTGGCAGGGGTAGGTGGGTAGGTAGATAGGTAGGGGGAGCGGCAGAGTCGCTTTAGGGTCTCTCCCTGAGAGCGTGTAGGAGGTGGCTGTGCTTGTGTATTCGTGATGTGGGGTGGGTGGGAGGAAAACGGGGACCGGCTGTGTTAGCTCGGATCGGTTTTTCGACTCTTTTCTTAAACAAGAGGAAAAAAAAAAAGAAGAAAAAAGGGAAAGGTAGCTTGGAGATTTTTTAAGGGGGCGGAATGAGGAAAATCAGACCGTTTTATTGCCCAATTCAGGCTGGGGAGAAGTTCCCTTTTGCGGTTAGCAACCCAGGCACTTATATCTACTTAGGATTTGTACCTGCTTCTGTCGCTCACCTTCCGTTTCCTACCCTACCTTTACCCTCCTCCCCCTTCTCCTCGTTCTGGAGAAACTGTTCTTGGGAGAAGGGTGAATCCTTAGGAATCCGTAAGGTTCTTGGCCCCTGGGCTCCGAGGAGGAAGTGCAGATAAATATTGGTTTCTAAAATTTTATGGAGAGCCCTACTGTGTGCTCAAATTGCGTGTGAGCTCTAGCGCGTCTAGACTCGACACCACGAGGTCAGGGACTCTGGACTCAGGAGCAGTCGGCTGCGGGAAGAGATCCGGAAGGCTCCCCCTCCCCCACGGTTGTCGAAACCCCACTGTGGGAGTGGGACCCAGGAAGCTAGTGGGTCTGCCTCCCTTGGACATTTCAGGCCTCCGGCATGCTACCTCGCCGACGGTCTTCCCTTTCCAAACTCACGGCTCCCGCCTCCCTTTGGCCACCACCCCACTCCTTCCCTCGGACTCCTCCCCCACTTCCCATTCCCCCAATTCCAGCTGATCTTCCGAATGGGGAGGATAGTGCGGTTTTAGGGCAGGGCTAGAAGGAGAACGCTCATGTCCAAAAATGGTAACGTTCATTCCCTTTTTTAAACTTAAAAGGGGGGGGGCCCTTGAGCCGGCTGAACTCCCTCCCCCCCCTTCAGCCAAAGGCATCCTGTATTAGCTCACTCTGGAATCCTAAGCCCTGAAACATTTCCCTTTTAGTCACTTCATCAGACAATCAAAGGTAATTTAAAACACATACGCTAAAGGCTTGGCTTACTGCTTCCTACAAATGTGGCAACCTTGGGGCCTGGGAGTGCCTGGCCTGCTCCCTGTTCTCTGCCATATATAGTCTTCAGTAGACTTCATTTTCTACTGCCCCCCCCCCCAACTCCTTTGTAATGTAACTAAGCCATTTAACCACCTTCTCCAGTACCCCACCCTACTGCCCACATACACTTTAAAAAGGGGATAAGTGTGGGGGAGTCAGGGCAAATGGGGCCATATTAAAAATCAGGCTTATCTTCCTGGACTAGTTGGGATTTGAGAGGAAAAAAATTTTTTTTTGCTGTTTTATTGATCTTAAAAAAAAAAAACAAACCCAAACACATAACCCTCACTTCCCACTGATGGCCCTCTCTTGTATAGTCAAGAAAGAAAACACATTAACCATGTATGAAAATAGGTATGTTTCATTCTCCAATGATAACTCACCACCTCTTTGCTAGGAGGCATGATTCACCATCATTCTTTTGAAATCATGACTAGTTACTTAATAAGAATTCTGAATTTTTTTGTTTTCTTTTATGTTACTATTGTCATTGTGTTAATCGCTCCCTTGGTTTTTCTTATTTCAATACGTATCTGTTCATACACATTTTCTCAAGTTTCTCTAAACTTTTTATATTCATCATTTCTTAGGGCACACATATTCCTTAACATTCATATACCATAATTTGTGTGGTGAAAGAGCACTGAACTAGGAGTCCCAGAAGTTTCATATATAATCCTGGGCCTGCCATTTACTGCCAGTATTATCTTGGGCAAGTCATTAACCTATTTGGACTTTCGTTTCTTCATCTGACTAGGTAACCTCTAAGGTCCCTTCCAATACTAAATCTATGATTCTATAATCTATTCACCCACTTGGTAAGTGATTCCTTCATTTCCAGTTCTTTGCTACCACAAAATGTGATGCTGTAATTATTTTTGTATATGTCGGACCTTTCCCTTTGTCTTTGACATTCTTGGGATATCTATTTAGTAGTGGGTCATTGGGTCATAGAATATGTGCAATTTAGTGGCTTTCTGGGTATAATTCCAAATTGTATTCCAGAATGGTTAGACCAATTTACAGTGCCAACTTTATGGTGCCTGCCCTCTGAGAGGGCAATTTTTAAGTGCTAAAGAGAGGTTTCCTTTTAGTGAAGCTTCTTAGAGGTTGGAATTTAGTTTTGTTTTGGGGGTGGGAGAATGCTAGGAGGTGTGGTCCAGGGAAAATGGGTATGAGCTCATATGAATGTGAGGTTGTTGTTTGCTCCTGTTATAATACTATGTTGACACCTACTGTGTGCATAGGCATTACAAAGAGACTCAGTCCACTCACTCCCTGCAGAACTGAAAATATAGTTGGGGGAGAAAAGGCACACAAAATGTCCTGAAATTATTGGGTAGTCCTAGAGGAAAGAGAATGAAAGGGAAGAGCCCAAACATTTGTTTAGACCAGGGGTCCTTAACTTTTTTTATGTCATGAATCCCTTTGGCAGGTGAAGCTTATGGACCTCTTCTCATAATAAAGGCATAAAATAAAACAGGATTACAAAGAATCTTGAAATACAGTCATTAAAGTATTAAAAAAAAAGTTTACGGTCCTCAAGAATCCCTGGTTTAGGCTCTGAAGTTGGTTGTTATTGGTCAGCCAGCTTTGAACAAGGACAAGTGGAAAGTTTGGTATCAAAGGTAAGAACAAACCAGCTGTGAGCACATAGGACCCACTTGTACCAAGTCTGTTTAAGGAAAAGAGGTAGGAGGTGGAAGATCTCCAGCAACAGTGAAAATCTGGAGGTGGCAAGACCCCTGATTTGTCTTGTTAGAGACTATGATGGAGGCAGTATGATATAATGGAAAAAGCTACTGGACAAGAGATCAGAGCTCTGCATTCTAGGCTTATTTGGGCTTTTTACAAAGTTATGTGACCATGGTCAAGTCACTACTAAGTCTCTCTGGGTCTCAATTTCATCATTTGTAAATTAGAGGCAATATATCTACCTTGTTGACCTCAGAATTGTTGTGGTGAGCAAATGAAATAATATGTGAAAGCGTTTTTTAAAAATGAAGCTTTTTATAAATGCAGGTTATTTAATATTATGAGTTATTTGGTAAATCCTGCCTTCCACAAATACTCCATCACCATACTCTTCGTGGGTGAATGGTAAAATTGATGCATGAGCAAGGGATGACTTAAGACCAGAGGAAAATGGGGGATGATATACAAGTGGGGAAGGGAATCAGGAATTCCTAGCAGGGATAGGAATCCAGGGGATGAGAGATAAGGAAAGTGCCTTTTGATAAACAGGCTAGAATATGATTAATTGTCCTGAGCATTTATATAGTTCTTTGTGTCTTCGGAGACTTATGGTACCACAGTTCATCAATGACTTGTCATTACTTGTAGGTACATAATTCTTCAAATAGTCTACTTTCCATCTGCCCAAATCCTGTCTGTTCTTTGACACCCAGCTTAAATGTCAGGACCTGCCTGAGGCTTTCCCAGATCCCTATCAGTATTATTAAATCTGATGTCACCCTTCCTTGGACCTTATAGCAGCCTGTCCTTATACTACTTAGGTAGGCGGTAAAGGTGGGGCAGGCAGTGTGGGTGGAGCAGAAAGGACCAGGAAGCAGCAGATGTGGGTTCATATCCCAGCTTTGAATCTGACCATGGTTAAGATAAGTTACTTTCATTTTTCTGGGCCTCAGTTTGTCCCTTTGCAAAATGGGGATAATAATACTTGTATTACCTGCCTTATAGGCTTGTTGTGCAGAAAACCCTTGGTAAACCTTAAAGTGTATTCCCCCCCCAAGGGAATTGGGGTTAAGTGACTTGCCCAGGGTCACACAGCTAGTAAGTGTCAAGTGTCTGGTCTGAGACTGATCTGAACTTAGGTCCTCCTGACTCTAGGGCTGGTGCTCTATCCACTGTGCCACCTAGCTTCCCCTTAAAAGTGTTCAATAAATAAGAGTTGCTATTGTGTATATGATTTGTATTTTCTCCAGATTGTAAGTTGCCTATGATCAGGGACTTTTACTTTATTCATCTTTTCACCTATGTTGCACCTAATAGAGAGCATTAAATCTAGTCAATAGTAATAAATATTTGTTGAGTAAATTTAGAAACTGAGACTCTGGTGAAGGGACTC